AGCTCTAATGAAATTGAAAGCAGGACACTGGGTCAGCGGGCCCTGGGCACTGCTCAAGGCCTCCGGCCGCGGGACACCACGAGGTTATTTCCCGTTCACGCGACTTTTTCGCGACCCCCTCCTCCAGCCGCGTGGGACGGGGTGAGCGACAGCGCCGAGCCGGGAGCCAGCCCTCCGCGCTCACGCCTCCGCGCTCTTGCCTCCAGCGTCCCCCTCGCGGGCCCAGCTGGAGCTGCACGTGCCGGCCGGCCTCGCCAGGTTGCAGGCGGTAGAGGGAGCAGAAGTGGTGCTCCCGGTGTGGTACACCCTGCAAGGGGAGGAGTCTTCGGTCCAGCGGTGGAAGGTGTTCCTGATCTGGCTCTTCAAACAGGAAGGGAAGGAACAGATCCAGGTGAGAGAGGAAAGCATCCCGGCCGGTGGCAAATTTCGCCCAGCGGTAGGCTTAGGGAAGGAAGGCGGGAGGGGTGGCCAGGGAATGGGGGCCCAGGAAGGAGTTTCAGGGATAAGCAAGTGTCCTTACCGGTTTAGTTTTTGTTCTGATATTGGAGGCTTCCCCAAAAGAATTTTCCTTCGCCCCACTTTCCCTAGAAATCCAGCACACAAAACACCGCACAAGCTGAAAGGCATTTTGCTTAGTTATAGGGAGTGGGGGAGGGGCGGGGCTTAAGGAAAGGGGTCAGGCTTAGGGCCAGTAACACAACTCTTTTTTTTTTTTTTTTTTTTACTTCTGAAGTACATCTTCCTAAGTAACACAACTCTTAAAAGCTGAGCATGTTCCTGTTTTCACATTCTCTGCTTTGGACACTGTCATGTCATAGGCCATTTCTCTACCCAAATGATTGTCATCTGCTCCCTGCCCCTTTATGCCACCTTGAGAGGCGAGGGGCAGCCCACCTGTCCTCCTGTCCATACCTCCCACCTGTCCTCCTCACCGGACCTACTCAGAGGAGGATTTACAAAGAAGCAAAGGGAACAGTTTTCAGAGCCCCTCACTTGCATGGGCTCCTTCCAAGGTCCTGGAGAATGTGTTCAAGCAGGTCATTTGATTTTTTTTTTTTTTAAGATATTTTTAATCTTCTTTTTCCTGAAGATGCTGCATCCCCCGCCCCCCCCCAATTGTATAAGTTTCAGGCCCTACGAAACCTGGATCTGCCCCTGCAATCTAAGTTTGTTTCATCCATACTGCCTATTTACATTATCCCTCCTTCACCCATTAGCCACCTTTCTAAACATCTGGAGTGAGAGAGGAAGAAATAACACATAAGGGATTTTGAACTGAACTGCTCTGGTGAAGAGGACCCAGGGGCAGGGAGAGGGTGGCTGGGAAGACAGGGGTGGATGGGGAGCTGGTACAGATCAGAAGGATGGGTGTAGATGAGAGGTATTCGAAGAATGACAATTTGGGGGAGGGCGACTGGCTGAGCCTGTGGGCACAGTGCACACGTGTAGTAATAACGGGGAGGTGTTATGCCCACACCAGGTGTTGTCCGACTTCAGTGGGAACACGACGTCAAAAAATCCGAGAGTATCCCTGCTCTACCCCAAGCCCTCCTGGAATGTGTCCCTGCACCTGCAGGGCCTTCGGGAGACAGACACGGGCTCCTACAGCTGTTCCGTGAATGTGCTGGACAGCCAAGACGTGGTTAGGGACTCTGGCGTCAAAACTTTAGAACTCAATGTGCTGGGTGAGTGAGAAGCACACACTTCTGGGTCCCTTCCAACACCCAACCCCACTGGGAGGTGTGGCAGCTGTCCCTCCCAAATGGCTGAGTGAAAGGGTTGGGGGAGGGGCAAATGGAGTGACACAAGGGTATGAGGATATGGGAGGAGAAGGATCTGTGGGTCCCTCAGGTGTGGAGTTTCATCTGTGTCCCCTTGCCCAGTTCCTCCAGCTCCTCCATCTTGCCGTCTCCTGGGCGTGCCCCGTGTGGGGACCAACGTGACCCTGAGCTGCCAGTCTCCAAGGAGTAAACCTGCTGCCCAATACCAGTGGGAGCGGCCACCCCCGTCCCCCCAGGTTTTCTTTGCACCAGCTTTAGGTGAGAGCACTTCTGGAAACAGCTGGACTGTGGCTGGGGAGGGGAAAGTACCTAGGAGTTACTGAGGTGCCGCAGAAACTAGGGTGAAAAGGGGAGGCAATGTTGGAAAGTACTGGGAAGGGGAGGAGGAGGGAGAAAGATGGCCCACCAGGGGCAGGCATGGTGCTGGGTCCATTCCAGTGCTGTATGCTGTGAGTAAAGAGGCTCTGGAGCAAGTGTCTCTGTTCAAATTCCAGCTCTTCCGTCCCCTGGCTTTGTGATCCTGTGCCTCCATTCCTGCATTTGTGAAATAGGGATTTTTACACACACCTGTTTGAACACACCAATGTGGTTTGAACAACATTTCTAGGGACAATTGAAACATTTTTAATATGGAGTATTAGATGATTTTAGATAATTATCATTAATTTCTTAGGTGTGGCAATGGTATTGTGGTTATGTGGGACAGCATACTTATTTTTTGGAGATTTCTGCTTAAGTATTTACTTTAAAATGTCTCAGTAAGAGAGAGAAATCAAATAAATATGGCAAAATGTTAGCAACTGTGGGATCTAGGTGGTAGGAATATGGATTTTCATTTTGCTCTTTTTATACTTTGCATTTCTTCTAGCTTCATTTATAAAGAAGCAATTTTATTTTTTTAAATAGTACTTATTTCCTCATAGGTTCATTGTGAAATTTTGGTAAGTTGGTACAGGTAAAGAACTTAGAGCAGTCTTTGATGTGGAGTAGGTAGACAATAAATGTTAACTGTTATAGTGATTAGTCCATATAACCTTTCTACAGGAGGGTAAATTATATTGTCCCCATTATACAGATGAAGAATTGGAGACGCAGGTATATGAAATAACTTGCTTAAAGTCACAGAGCCTATTCTGGAACCTAGGTTTTCTAGTTCCTAGCCTAATGTTCTTTCTCTCTCTTACTGCCTTTCAGTGTGATGAATATAAGAAGCAAAAAGAGTACTTTGGTTTTTCTGTATGTCACTTCCCCTTTAGCTTCCTTTTTCAGATATCAGTTAGGGCCCTTGGGGAGTGGAAATGGAGAGGGGTACTGATGGAGAGGGGTACTGAGCTGAGTCCAGCATGCTGGCTGTCACACCTTCCCCTCCATCAGGGAATAGACAATCTGTGACTCCAAGAGAGTCAGAGGGAACATTCTAGAGGAAGGAGAGGAGGGGAAGAGTTTTTTGTTTTTGTTTTTAATGGGAAAGAGATTCTCTGGACTGATGGCTAAATTGTGTCCACAGATGCCACCCGTGGGTCTCTAAGGCTCACCAACCTTTCCACTTCCATGTCTGGAGTCTATGTCTGCAAGGTCCACAATATGGTGGGCAGTGCCCGGTGCAATGTGACACTGGAAGTGAGCACAGGTCAGTGAGGGGTAAGTGTGGTTAAGGAGAACGGTCAGTGGGGGTGAGGTGGGTCACAAGAGGGGATAAAGCCTGTCTGATGAGGCCTCCCCTTATAACAAGACAGGGAGCTTGCTCTGGTGAAATATTTGTACAAATGTTTGATCAGTGACTGGCCATTTTCTGTTTGACAGCCATCCCCTCTTCTTAACATGGAAAAAGACAGAATGCGTATGGTGGCAGTGAGGACAGTGGGATTGGAGAGGGGTAGGGAACAGCTCAGTGTCCCCCTCTAATTCCCAGCATTTTCTAGGGCCTAGGGCTGCGGTGGTAGCTGGAGCTGTTGTGGGCATCCTGATTGGTTTGGGGCTGCTGGCAGGGCTGGTCCTCTTGTACCAACGCTGGGGCAAGAGCCTGGAGGAGCCAGCCAATGATATCAAGTAAGTGTCCCTGGTCTCTGCTGTATTTGGGGATCTCCTAGCTCCCCTCACAGAGCCTGGGATTTCAGGCAGCTCTCATCTAATGGAAAGGTGAGCAGTAGCTGAAACACTTCTATGGGCAGATTTTAAGGGAGAGGGGGAGGAGGGTTGAAGTATGGGGGGAGATGGGGAATAGAACAAAGTGTGTGAACTCTCACCTCCTTCCCCCTCCCACTTCTGACCTCTTATTACTTCTTTGATTACTAGGGAGGATGCCATTGCTCCTCGGACCCTGCCCTGGCCCAAGGGCTCAGACACAATCTCCAAGAATGGGACCCTTTCCTCTGTCACCTCAGCACGAGCCCTCCGGCCTCCCCCTTCCAGGCCTGGTGCCCTGACCCCCACACCCAGTATCTCCAGCCAGGCCCTGCCCTCATCAAGACTGCCCAGAACAGATGGGGCCCACCCCAAGCCAACATCCCCCAGCCCTGGGGGGGTTTCTTCCTCCGCCCTGAGCCGCATGGGTGCTGTGCCCGTGATGGTGCCTGCCCAGAGTCAGGCTGGGTCTCTGGTGTGATGGCCCTGTCACTCTTTGATGAACCATCTGGTGTCTCTCCTTCCCGTAGGGGTCACCCCTAGCACAGAGGCCTAAGTCTTGGGAGGGTAGCCACACTCCAGACCTTTAGTCCTCTGCCCCCACCTCTCTTTACTATGAGAAAACTGAGTCTCAGTAAGACACAAATGTCCAGGAGGTAGAAGAAGAGACCTGGGATTGTGAGGAGCCTCTACCCACCCCTTCTCCTCCCTGTGAAGCCAGCTGAGTGCTGCTGAGATTGGCTGCCCACCAAGGGCCCTGGCAGAGACTGCTAGTCACTGGGTCCCCCAAGCCTCCTTGATCTGTACATCACCCCTGTCTAACACTGTGCTTTGTTCCCGCTCCCGCTCCCTGCATTGATATAACCTGTCCTGCTGGCTTGGTTGGGTTTTGTTGGGGCAGGGAATAGGGAAGATATCTTTTAAACTAACTTGAAATGTATGTTTTTTGTTTTTATTTTGCCAATTTCAATAAAGATACATTGTGTTTGTATGGAGTAAGAATCAAATTGCTTTTTCAAACTCAGAATTTCAGAAGTTGAGCTTCAGGATGATGCAAAGTAGATCCCTACCCAGGCTTTGTACCCAGGAGTGCTTCTCCACATAGCCTCAGAGCTTACCAGCTCCAGATGGCTCTTCTAGAGTTTCCTAGAGCGGCCCCCTCCCATAGCTCTAGAAGAGTCATTTGTTGTCCTGTGGAGAAGAGGAGGCACAAAGAGCCTGAGGTGAGGATACCCTAACCTGCTCTGACCAGCAATGGGATGGGATTGTGGCACTTTCTTTCTGTGCTCCAGGCTTGGGGCTCCTGCTTCCTCTTCTGGGACAGGGGAGAGGAAGCTGACTTGTGGTCCTTTCTCCCAAACCACTGAATCCTGACAAACCCTCGTGCTTGCCCATGCGGAACTGAGACCCTGTGTTGTGAGGGAGAGCTGGGCATAGGATGTGGTGCAGGTCCATGTCTGAATTCTGCGATGCACTTTCCTACCAAGGCTGGGGTCTCCTCTAGGTGCCAGTTTCTCTGCCCATAAAATGGAGTGGCTCTGCGAATGGGGGCTGTTGTAGTTTCCATGGAGACTCCTACCTCAGCAAGTGGTGAGAAGAGGGTTTGGGAAGGAATAAGAACCCTAAGGGGACAGAAATGGTCTGTGGCCGGGGCACATGCTCCCTGTGTCAGGCCTTTGGGTGGGGATGTCATTTGCCGGCTCTGGGGGGGATCAGAATGCCTCCCTCTTCCTCAAAAGTCTCACTGTCCCTTCAGAAGTCCTATTCTGAGCCCTTCCCCTCAGGGTGTCCACCCCAAGGCCAGCCCTTTTCCCAGGGCCTGGCAGCTTCAGAGGTTGGTGGGAAGAGGAAGGAAGAAGGGAGCAGAGCTAGAGTGATTCCAGAATTGGGCCTTGAGGAGGGAGGAGCGTGTTTTTTACCCGAGGGTGCCAGCCTCTCCCCTTGTTTGCTCTGAGATAGTCAGTCTTGTTCCTGCCCGGCACCAAGGCGGCTGCCCTTGGGGCGCTCCCGTCCCTCCCAGACACCCGGGAAGGGGGACCATGGCCAAGCTCCCTGGACCTTTTGTCTGCGGGGCCCTGCTGGGATTCCTGCGCCTAAGTGGTGAGGAGGGCGGGACCTCGGGGAAAGCTGGGGGGCCGAGGCCTGGCTTGCCTGGCTCCTCCTCTCCTCGGGCCTGGGCCTGCTCCGTCTGGGCGGGAGCAGGGGCTGGGGCGTCCTCTGGGGGGGGGTCCGGGAGGGGGGAACCGTCGTCGTCGAGGCCGGGAGGGCGGAGGGGAGAGGTAGGCAAGCCGGCAGGCGAGTTCATCCTCTCGGTGGCAGAGGGCTTAACCACCGCAGGACCATTGTTTTCCTTTCTCTGCTGAACACACCCTCCTACCTGGCCCAGTCTCGGCCCTTTTACCCACAAAAACCCGGCCAGGCTGTGGGCCTCTCCCTACCGAAACTTCAGGTTTCAGGACGGGAGGGACGGGAGGGACTGGGTTGAGGGGAGGGGTTGCGCTCTGGGGGTGGGGGGCAGCCATGGCTTCCAGTGTAATCACCCAGGTGTGGGTCGGACCCTCCAGATCACGGGATTTGGGTCTCCAGCCCCAGGGCTAGCCGTGGAGGTGAAGGTACCCTCGGAGCCGCTGAGCACGCCCGTGGGCAAGACTGCCGAGCTGGCCTGCAGCTACAGCACTTCGGTGGGAGACAGCTTCGCCCTGGAGTGGAGCTTTGTGCAGCCTGGGGAGCCTATCTCTGCATCCCATCCTGTGAGCTGAGAGCAACTGTGTCGAGTGGGGTTGGCAGGGAGAGGCAGGAGCCCAGGTGGGGTCGGGAGGGTGCGTCTGGGCATCAGGATGCTTGGGTAGAAAGGTAAGTGGGCTTTTCCTAGGTCTTCTCAGGGCTGCAGTCTGCTTGACCCTACATCATCCCTTCCTCTCCCGTAGCTCCTATATCCAACTCACCTATGTTAGTGCAGTCCTAGTTTCAGTTAATAAACTCATCGACGATAAGGCATTGTAGTTAATATTAGGACAATATGCTGCCTCTTCTAGGACTATTTGCCTGAATCCCCCCTACCCTGAGTAGAGAGAGCCATGCTTAACTGAAAGCAATGAATCTAGTTCATCTAGCACCTGGAAGGGGCTGGTGTTTGGGGACAGATAGACCTTTGTGGTTCTAGCTAGAGTATCAGCCTCCCTGGCTGATGTAAGTGAGGAGCCTCTTATTCTCACTTTTATGAGGAAGGATTGTAGAGTTGATGCCAAGCAGGAAAAGGCACATATGTGTGTTTTCTACCTCTCTCCAGATCCTGTACTTCACCAATGGCCATCTGTATCCAACTGGTTCTAAGGCAAAGCGGGCCAGCCTGCTTCACAACCCACCCACGGGAGGGGTGGCCACCCTGAAACTGGCTGATGTCCACCCCTCAGACACTGGAACCTACCTCTGCCATGTTAATAACCCACCAGATTTCTACACCAATGGGTTAGGGCTAATCAACTTTACTGTGCTGGGTAAGGCAGGCTGGGGACCCGTCAGCCACCCACGTACCTGAAAGCTTGTACTGGCCCTACTAAATCTCCCCATGTCCTCATTTTCAGCCTGAGCACACAGCTGCACTGCGGACCCCAGGGGAAGATATCCCCTTCCCAACTCTTCTAATCTAGATGGTCCTACTCTGACTCCACCCTCCACAGACAGAATCTCCTCCCTCAGGGCCTAGTAACAAAGGGTGTGAGAGAGAAAGCCTTTCCCATGTGTGGGGATCTGAGTCATGCCCCCACCAGCTCCCTGGTGAGGGAACCTCCCACGGGTAGCTAGATTCTATTCCCAAGGTCAGTGGCAGAAAAGGGGAGTGGCCATTAAAGGAACAAGGGCCCCTGTCACTGAACACCAACTTTGTATTCAGAGCTTCCATCTTACCCCAAATCAGAGCCTGTTCAGAGATGAACAACTAGAAGAAACTATTAAATAGTCTGGGGATGTTTAATGGAAAAGACATGACCTAGCATGTGGTGTATGTCTGCTGTATTCAAACAGATGAAGGACTGCCACATAGAGGAGAAATTTTCATTTCTCCTTTCAGGGCCAGAGGGCAGGAACTGGATGCAGTGGGTGGATATTGCATTAACACAGATTTTGGCTCACCATAAGGAAGAATTTTCTAACAATCAGAATTTCCAATAGTGGAAATCCCTTCCTCAGGATGCAGTGGTGTGTGGACACTATTTGGTAGGGGGTATTGAAGCAGGAAGTCTAGTGTTTAATGGGGGCGGGGTTGGAAGAATGCTGAGGTACTTTCTGTGGTTTTTGCAGTGCCTCCCAGTAACCCCTTATGCAGTCAGAGTGGGCAAACCTCTGTGGGTGGCTCGGCTGCACTGAGATGCCACTCCTCTCAGGGAGCTCCCAAGCCAGTGTACAACTGGGTGCACCTTGGATCTTCTCCCACACCCTCTCCTGGCAGCATGGTTCAAGGTAAGGGCCCAGGGCATCGGGAAGAGGGGACTTGGGATCTGAGCAAATCTGGTCTGAGCCTCCACACCCACATGACTAGTCCCATGACTAGGAGTATGGGGCACACCGCTGGACCTTTCCCTGACTCTTCCTTGGCTTTCTGTATTGTTCCCTCCTGTCTGCTTCCTACACAGTCTGTAGCTGGGTGACCCTAGGGGCATTTTTCAAGCTAAATATACCCTGATATCCTGGAAGAGAGTGGAGAGCAGGGAGCATTCTGATAATTCCCACTTGTCTGCTTTGGGGAGACTTCTTTTACATTTCTTAAGGGTCATGAATCACTTCCAAACTTCCAAAAGAGGAAACTGAGGCAGAGAACCTGGACTGGCTTGAATCTTTCAGCCAATTTCTTTGGAGGAACCACATACCTAAGAGCCTTAGCTACTCAGGTTTCTCTTGCTGGCTCCAGCTACTCTGTCTCCTCCCAGTCCTAGCAAACTCCTTTATCAATCCAGACACACACCCTCACCCTCAGCCTCCTGGTGTGTGCTCTGTCTTCTCAAGCAAAGGCAAGCAGCTGAGAAAAGCATTTGGGTCAGCTTAAAGCAACCCCACAGGATGCAGTTTCTAGCAATCAAACCTTTTACCCCCAACCAGAAGCCTGACATTACTCAGTAAGCACCCCACCGCAATTCCACTGCCTGTTTCTAAGCCCTCTGTGTGCACACAGACCCCTCAGCAGGCAGCTATATAGGGTAGAAAGAACACAAGTTGCAGTGGCTTTGGAATTCCTCTCTGGTCACCTCGGACAAATTACTTCCTTTCTCTGAACAAGTTTCCCCACCAATAAAATGAGATTAGTCCCTTTCTGACAGAATTGTAAGGATGAAGTGAAATGTGCTTTCTGCATAGTAGGTGCTCACTGTGAGTTGAATGAGTGGCGGAACACTTCCTCTTCATCCTCTAGATGAGGTGTCTGGCCAGCTCATTCTCACGAATCTCTCCCTGACCTCTTCGGGCACCTACCGCTGTGTGGCCGCCAACCAGATGGGCAGTGCATCCTGTGAGCTGACCCTCTCTGTGACTGGTAGGGGATGCTGGGCAGATGCCAGACTGGCAGGCTTGGGCTGGGGAGGGCTGCATGAAGCTGTCTGAGGATGGGCCAAGGGAGGTCTGCAACTCTGAGGGGGTCTGTGTCTCTTTAGATCCCTCCAAAGGCCGAGTGGCTGGGGCTCTGATTGGGGTGCTCCTGGGTGTGCTGTTGCTGTCAGTTGCTGCCTTCTGCCTGATCAGGTTCCAGAAAGACAGGAAGAAGAAGCCCAAAGAGACCTATGGGGGTAGTGACCTTCGGTGAGCAGGAGGTCTTGGGGGTGGTGCAGAGAGGGAGGAAAGGGCTTTGGTTAAGTGGGTGCCTGCAGCCCTCAAACTCTGACACTGTAAAATGCATTTTGGGGTAGGGGGCTGCTGCTCAGGCCTGGGACTTGGTGGTGACAGCAGTATAAATATGTATTTGCGTGTGTGAGCAAGGTGTACAGGGTGGGGGGGGTTGGTTCACAAGCTGGTACAGAGACAGCTCAGTTTGCAGGACTGCCCCGCCCCTCTTCATACTTAAAAAAGTTTACTTTTCTTCTTTTAAGGCATTTTCATATATACTAACCACCTGGAAATAGTGGTGAGAGGTAGCTGCTTTGTCCTGAGCATTTGGCTAGTTTAGTTCTGTGTGAGGCAATCAGGAAAGGAGGGGGGAAACTGCCTCTTCCATCTACTGTAGCTGCTAGTCCGGGTCCAAAACTTGAATTCAGATTCAGGCCATTTCCTATCCTTCCTAGAGTGGTGTGTGTGTGTGTTTGGGGGCTGATGAGGCTTGGAATCTTCATTTTAACCAAAGTTCCACAGATGATTCTTATGCATAGTAAAATTTAAAAGTCCCCAGGTTAGACGATGGCCACCCTCCAAAGGATGCTTTTAACATTCACTAAGAATTTCTCTATATCCATCAGGGAGGATGCCACTGCCCCAGGAATTTCTGAGCAAACTTCGGAGAGGGGTGATTCTAGCCTCGGGCTCCTGGAGAGGCCCCCGTCTGCCAGCACTGTGACGACCACGAAGTCCAAGCTCCCTGTGGTTGTCTGAATTCTCCTGAACCTGAGGGCGGTGAAGGAGGATGTCAATAATTAAAGTCTTTGGGTACCATATTGACTTCTTCCTGCTAGTATGGCGAATTCCTCTAGGCGGCTCAAAGAGCATTACCAGTAAAGGAAGGAAGGAATGAGCTTGAAGTCCCGGAGACGACGCCTTAGCAGGAAGTTTGGCTGGGTCAAAGGAGTAGGTTTCAACCTAGGTACCTCTCCACCTCTGCCCCCATCCCCCGCCCGGTTTCATTTGGTCAAATGAGACTTGTCAAGCTCCAGGCGGTGGCCTCGTGCACCCAAACTCTCTCCACCACCCCCTCCCTCCGCCGGCACCCTCTGAACACTTGGACATTCCTCTTTATTGTTCACATTCCAACCCAGCACGGTCACATGCACACACGGAGATTAAAAACCTTCCGGCCACAGCCCCAGGAGCCCTGCGGGGGACGGGACCAGCAGGGGCGGGGCAGGGGCGGGGCCGCGGAAGACTCCTCCTACCGAGCCTTCCAGGCGCTCGGCGTTTGCATAAACAAGAGAGCTGGAAAGGCTGCTCTCAAGAGTGCGCTAGGGAGAGGGGAGGGGACATCACAGGCAGGCGTGGGGTAGGGACTTCCCTTCCGATCAGAGAAAGGGGCGTCTGACGCCATGAAAACCCTCTTCCCCCCTCTCCGTGCCCCAGGTCCTGGGGCTAGACTGGGGCGGGAACGGCACAGAGACGCAGGGCGCCCCTTTCGGCTGCGCACAGAACGAAAGGACTTGTTCTGAGTGTACTTGGGTGACGCTTAGGGCGCCCTCCGCAGTGCGCGCAGGGAAGCGCGCCGAGGCTGCGGAGGCAGAGCTGCATGCTGGGTGCGGGGAGAGGTGGGCGAGAAGCAAAAGAAGGAAGATTTGGGAGCACAGGGTTAGGGCAGGTCGGGGAGGAAGGGCAGATGGGAACCATACTGGACTGGAGACTAACTAAAAGGGCAAGGACTCCGCGACGGAGCCTGCCTGGGAGAGGGAGTCTCTGGGACGCGGGGGGGCTCCTGAAGCTGGCAGGTTGGTGGGAAGGAGGGGATCACAAACACGGCAGGAAGTCTCGTCACTGCGAAGGGGACGCGGCATCCATCTCTCCTCGGGAACTGAGGAGAGAGAAGGTCTGAGAACCCGTCCTCTCCTGGTACTTTTCCTTCCCCCTCCCTTCTCCTTTTCTGAACCGGGATGGCTGGGCAGGGAGTGCCAGGGGCCCCAGCCACCCAGAACCCCCGTCCGAGTCACTGTGCTGAAATGAGCCCCGCGGCAGGTACGTGTGCGCGCCGCGGTGTGCGTATGCCCCTCGGCCAGGCTTGTGCAGCCAAATGGGGGTGACTGCGTATCTGTGTTGGGCCAGGTGTGTCCCCGTCGCAGCCTCAGGCGCCTCGATGTATCAGGAAACCCGCAAGCGCAGGGTGCATGTCCCCAGCTGGGAGGGGTGAGGGCGGGCAGAGGGACGGGTTGGGGATTTGGTCCTTTTCTCCCACTCACAGCTCCCACCCTGCCGCTTCGGGGCCGTATTCGTTACCTTCGAAAATGCTCAGTTCTTCTTTGGTCCAGGGCGGGGCAGGAGGGAGGGCGAAAAGGGAGAAACAGTGAGCTCTCGGCACCCGCAGCACCCTCAGCCTCCTCCCGCCCACCCACTTCACGTCTCGGATTTCTGGTCCCCCACCTTGGCTCCCTACACACCCCTCTCCACCCGTCGCCCCCCATAGTCTGCCCCTGTTCCTTCGGAGGAGGGCTGGGAAAGGACAGCCTCCAGCCCGCCACGCCCGGCCCGCCTCACCTGGCCTAGTCTCCGCTGGGGCCGCCGCCCGCGCCTCCCCGGGCGCCCCCAGCTCCGCCCGGTCCCCCAGGGCCTGGGCCCTTCCGGCCGCGCTCTCCGCTCTTTATCTTCTTTCGCGCCATGTGGCCCCGGAAACTCGCCTGGATTTTGGCAGCGGCCGCGTTGGCACCGGGATCGTCCAGCGGGATGTCCAGAATGTCGTCGTCTGGCTTGGAGCAGGCGCTCTCCTGGGGCGGGGCAAGGGGGTTCTTATGGGGTAACTGGATCGAGATCCCGCGGGGTGGGACAGGAACAGAGCCCTGGGGGATGCAGAGGAGGGCGACGCGGGGGTGGGAGGTGGAGAGAGGGGAGCAGAGCGTGGGGAAGGGATAAGGCAGGGCCGCACTGGGGCAGGTGTGTTAGGTGGGGGGAGTGGCAGGCGAAGAGGAAGGTTCAGGGCCAGGCGGACACAGTTGTGTGCCCAACTCAGGAAAGAGAAGCGCACGGTGGGTTGGGATACAAGAAAGTCAGGCCCACCAGGAGCGGCCGAGTTAGAGGAGCTGCACAGCTGATTGGTGGTTGGGTTTGGAGGAGCAAGGACAACAGCAGCAGGCCATCCTGGAAGTGGCCTTAGGGCTCCTGCTCTCAGAGGGTGCCTCCAGCTCAGAAAGTCCCCTTCCCAGTCCAGGATTCCCTGGAGAGAGGGTGTAGAAGACTCAGCAGGACAGCTCTTTCCCTGAGTTCTCAGTGAGTCAGCCTCCCTCTACCTAGGGCTGGAGGCCCAGAGGTTGTTTCCTATTGCTTCCCAGGATGAGCTCAAACACAGATGACAAAAGATAGTGTGGAAGGAGTGACAGAGAAAAGACAAAGAGAGGAATTATGATGATAGCTACCATTTAATCACTTACCTTGTTCCAGGTGCAATAACGTAGTGTTTTCTAGGCATTATTTTACTTAGTCCTCAAAAATAAAGCTATGATGTACCTTTTAATTGTTATCCTAGTTTACCTCTAATAAAACTAATGACTGGAGTGTTTAAAAACCTACCTGGGGTCTTACAGATAGTTATAATGGACTTAAGATTCAAACCTTTGTATGTCAGAGTCCAGAATATATTTTTAACCCCTACTTTGTAGGATAAGCAAATGCACCCCAGAAAAGAAACCAAGGCTCTACCACTTGCTATGACTGCATGGTCTTGGGCAAGTTATCTAATCTGTTCCTATCTCAGCTCCTTCATCTGAGAAATCAGGATAATAATAACCACTTCTATGGGTTGTGGGGAAGAACAAACAGCATGATATGCATAAAGTTTCTGGCACAATCTAGTTGCTCAATAAATGGTAGCTATTATGGTTGTTTTAAATAATAAGTTGATGCAAAATAGTCGTTTTCATGGGGCCCAAAGTGGTCATTAATAATTTCACATGGTTCAACCTAATAATAATCCAACCCTCCCCTGTGCCCCAAAGTAGGTTTCTGGTTCTCTGACAGCCTGCCCTCTTTCCTAGAAGAGGTTAGTGAACTGATGGTATTGATTGTGAAAGCAAGGCCCTGGATTGTAGAGATTCAGCTCCTGCACCCCTTACTTCCAGCACTAGTGAGGGTTGGGATGGGGATGGTTACTATACGGTTGGAAGGGCATTTCTCCTTTGATTTGGCCCTCTGGCTTCTACGACTTTGTGCTCATTTTTTCCATAAGGCCTTCCACAGCTTTCGCTGTCTCTTTCTTCTAGGACATGAGATGGCCAAGGTCTCACACACGGTAACTCAGTTCTGCACATTCGCCCTCCACCAATCCAGTTCACAGAAGTGGATAGGAAATGAGTGAGGCTTCAGTGGTCACTGTCCTGGCCAGGTTCTGCCCCAGGAGCACAGGTTGAAATTCCAGATGCCCAAGCCTAGGTTTACAAATGGCTCCCTGTCACCATGTTTCCCCAGGCTGTCCTCATTTCCTGGGCTTCAGAGTTCTTCCATTTGTGCTTAAGAAGCCCACAGTTGATTTAAACACACTTAAAAGGAGCTAGGAATAGGCAAGTGGTTGTGGATGGGGCTTGACAAACACATTCTTGTCTTTCGCAGGTCTGGAGCTCTCTCTGACATCTTATTCCTCACGTAAAATCAGAAACAACTCCTTTGGATTCTTTGATTCTCAGAGTTCAAGTCTTTCTTGGCATATTATCAGGGAACAGTTAGATTTCTTCTCAAAAAGGAGCAACAACCATAAAAAACCATTCCTGACCCACCTGTCCTCGATGGCCTCACAGGAGGTTGAGCGGAGGAGGAACCCTTCTGGAAAGGGTATCTTCCCCCAACCATGCTAAGACCCTGCCTGCTGTCACCACCCACCCCTGATGGATCCAGAATGGAAACCTGGAACAACAGGCAAAGCCACCCCTGACACTCACTCCGCTCTTCTCCAGAATCAGCTCCCTCTCCCTGCAGCTGAACTCTCAGGACAGAGCTGCTAAGTGGCAAAACTGGAAGGAGAGTAAAAGGAATCCAGAAAGGGGCTCATTGGTCATGACGCCTGGGCTGGTGCCTTCCAAACCTAAGACCACTGGTGCGTGCCTGAGAGCTCCATGTGAACTGAAAGACAACTGGCGAGGGCAGGGGTGGTCGTGGCGGAGGAAGTGGAAAGAGCACTGGTTGACAAAACAGGACTCATGGCCTCTCGTCCCCGCTGCACATGTCACTTCACCTCCAAGAGTCTCATTTTCTTCAGCCACAACTAGCACTTGGCCTAAATGAATAAAGTCTCCTTCAATACCCAAATTTTAATAGCTTTCAGGCTTTTATCCCTGTCTGTTGCTTGTTATGTGAGAGGAGGCCCTATGCTAAGCACTTTGCACATTTTACCCCATTTAGGCCCCGTTTAGTCAGGATAGAGCCTCAGAGATGTTTGGTAACCTACCTAAGGTCGCTTAGCTGACAAACCGTGACAATGACTTGATCAGATTCAGTAGCCTCTGCTGTTAACTACTGCCTTAGGGCAGGTAATTATTTCTATGAATTCAGCTGGACCAAGTCAACTAGACTCAACAAAAGAAAGGAGCTGGATCAAAAATATGTTTCCAGGCCAGGTGCGGTGGCTGACGCCTGTAATCCTAGCACTGGGAGGCTGAGGTGGGCAGATCGCTCAAGGTCAGGAGTTTGAGACCAGCCTGAGCAACAGCGAGACCCCATCTCTACTAAAAATAGAAACAAATTAATTGGCCAACTAAAAATATATAGAAAAAAATTAGCCGGGCATGGTGGCGCATGCCTGTAGTCCTAGCTACTCGGGAGGCTGAGGCAGGAGGATCACCTGAGCCCAGGAGTTTGAGGTTGCTGTGAGCTAGGCACGGCACTCTAGCCTGGGCAATACAGTGAGACTGTGTCTCAAAAAAAAATGTTTCCTTGCCTTTTTATATTAAGTGAATGCAGGAAAAGTCATATATATGTGGCTATGTAAATCAGCAACTGTAACATTTGAATCAACAGCTCTGTCTCAAAAAAAAAAAAAGCAGCTCTATTTTCTTCTTCCTCATTTCTGTCCGAGCCTCTACCAAGGGGAGAGAGGGAAGAAGGCAGGACTAGGCTCTTCCCAAACACCAGCTGAGGCAGTCAGCGCTGGAGAGCCCCAGAATGAAAGGTGAAGAAGGACTTGTCTCTAGCTCCCAGAGGTACACTGTTCTCTTTACAAGTCCCAGCTACCTTTCAGCACTGAGCCCAGCCCTGCCCTTCCCCAGTCCTCTACCTCATCGCGCCTGCTTATTCTTCCTGCCCCTTGCACAGTCTGAAAATGTCTCTCTTGCTCAGCCCTTTGTCTCTGCAGATCTAGGACAGGGAAGGAATGAATTGGGAAAGCTCCTATGCACTGGGTACACTGGGAGAGTTGTGTATATGCTTCCTCTGTACCTTTTGAGGGGCAGCCTTCCCTTTTTAGGGGACATTGATTCCAACTACATCTATCAATTCCTCAGTATGGCTTCCTGGGCACTCAAGAGCACAGTTCTGGGCAGACCAGGGCCTGCAGGCAGGGCCTCCACATCCTACCCTAATTACTTGTGCAGACACTAGAGAAGACAAGCTACCTTCCTTCCCTGGCTTCTTGGATCCCTTGCTTACTCATCTCTTTCCACTGGCCATGCCTCCTGCTTCCCCTTCCCCAGCAATACTGCCCCCTCACTCCTCTCCCCTTTCCCACGTATATCCCAGAGCCCACCATGCATTTATTTTCTCTACTTTGTAAAACACTGCGGGGGGTGAGGGGCTCTTCCTCAGTGGAGCCCAGGAAAGTGGAGTCCCTCTCACGACAAAAACTGCTTCCTGAAGCATAATAAGCAAAGGGAAAAGATTGGAAGGAGATATTTTATGGGGGGGTGGGGGTTCCTCCAGGGGGAGGGGGTGGGGTTGGAGATGATTGATATGTTTTTTTCATACTTTTCTTTAGTTTTTACATTTTCTATGATGAGCATATTACTTTTACAATGAGGAAAAAACAGTACAGATTCAGAGGAGAGGTTAAAGTACAGCTATTGGAATCAGATAGGGCGATGCTTGAATCCTGCCTCCTTGGGAAGGAAAACAATTTAATCTTTCTAAACCTCAGTCTGCACATCTGTGAAATAATACCACCTGACAGGGTTGTTGCAATGATTAAATATAAAGTGGTAGGTACGTGGTAAACATTCAAAAACTGGCAACCGTTATTGACACTAATAAGAGTTAAAATTACAGCAATCACGACTTGCCCCCAAGTTTTCTCTGCCTCTTGGTACCCAGACATAGGGAAGTCTCAATTCTTATAGAACTGGGCTATCCTTTCCTTCCAAACCCCACTTCTTTTTTCTTTTGTACGCCATGGGGTGGAGGGTGGGACAGCAGGCTAAGTCAGTAACCTTCTTGTATCATTCTCTGGGTTGACTGAACGAGAATACAAAGACTTTGGAGTAGTCTTTCTTCATATGTAGGGGCTAAAAATAAATAAACAAACACAAATTTTATATACATATGACCACTGCACTCCTCCAGTGAGCCAGGAGGCAGGTCCTGTGCCAGGCGCTTTCACACCGAGTCACCTGAGCAGCAGCGCTCTGTGGCTTTCGGCCCTAGGAGTATCCAGGTCTCCGTGTGGGCGCCGACAAACCGCAGACACTTCCCCCCCTGGCCAGCAGGGCTCTCTCGCGGCCACTTCCCCCAGCCCCCTCCGGAGCGAGAAGGCGTCGGGGGCCGGGCACCCCCCGCCCCTCCGCCCTGAGAACCGCGTTCACTAGGCGCTTTGCTGCTCATCGCCAGTACTAAGCTAACCCAGGTGAGCCGGTCATCCCAGCCTGCGCCGCACAGGGCGCTCGGGCGGTGGTTGAAGGGCCGCGCGGAGCGGCCGGTCCGCCCGCCCAGGCGGCGGCGGTGGGAGGCGGAATGGTGGGAGCCGAAAGCCAGGTGAAAAGGGCCGCCGCCGTGGCTCCTCTAGGCGACGGTTTCCAGCATCTCACTGGGGCGTGTGTGTGGGGGGAAGTTCCTCTTCTCGTCTAACCTCCTGCGTCCCTGTGGCAGAGCCCAGCCGAGCTCCCAGTCCAACCTAGACTGCCCGGGTGATCGGCGCTCAGACGCCCCCGCAAGTTGGGGAGCATTTTTCCTGGGGCTTCCAACTCAGGCGGGCGCCTTCCACCACCCACCACCCACGTCTCGGCAGGCACCCCTCTTTGCTCCCAGGTCTTCCGCACCCACTTCCATTGCTTATTCGCCGTCCAGGGGGTTCTCGGGCGCCCCTTGCCCCAGCCCCAGCTGAGTGCCCGTCCCCCAGGCCCTCTAACTTACGGTGCAGCAGTCCATGCTGGTGTTGGGGGTCCTTGCCTGGGGCGGAGGGCGGGGGTGGGGTCAGTGTGATGCTGGGTGGGGGCTCTGGGGCTGTGGGCCGCCAGCCGACCCGCGCCGAACCAGCAGCTCGCCTCTCCGGTCCGGTCTCCCGCGCTCGGCTCCGCTCTCGAATGTAACCTGAGCCCCGCGGCCCGAAAGCCAATCAGAAGAAGCCTTCGGCAGGGTGGGCGGGGAGAAGTGGAGGGAGGACCACGCCCTCTCTCGCCTCCTGCCCCAACCCCTCCGCCTACACGCTTGCATCCATTCCCCCTACACACCCCATCCTCCCAACTCCGTCCCCTTGCTTGCTGCGTGGCAGACTGCCAGGCAGATGTACGCTGGAGGAGGCAGACGGAGGCCCCCGACAGCCCTGGCACAAACACACTCACATCTGGGCACAGCACCCTCTCCCGCCCGTGAATAGAAAACCACGCACCCCTCACCCACCTCTCCATATTTCCACAAGCTAGCTAGAGTCCCAAATATGGCTCCCTCTAACTTCCCTCCCCCTCAGTCCGCAAAGAACAGCTCCTTAAGACGTGCGGTAAAAAATAAAATAAAAAAAAGTCCCATCATCACTGCTGCTATAGAACGGAGAGAGCTGTTGGTACACAACCTGGTGATGGGCAGCATGAACACAAAACCTCACAAGCCCCACATGTCCATATATGACACAGCCAGGCTCACTAAAACGTGGCTTTCCAACATGCAGATACTGCAGACACAACCTGCAAAAATAACTGCGTAGACCTGGTACGCACACCCTGTGCAGTTACAGGTAAACGCAGACACCGGTTATGGGAGTGCATACACACACACAGACAATCTCCCTGCTCGAGCTGTCTGCATTGCGTCTCTACTGTCTGTCTATGGATCCATCATCTATTATCTATCTGTATGCCCTGCACCAAACCAACAAAACCCACTTTGTCTGTGTTTATAATATGTGCACAGATTTGGAAGAAACACCTCCCCACTACTGCTCCTCACACCACACTCTCCCTAGCATCTTGATCTTCTGCCTCAGAATAAGGCAAAAAAGTGGCCACCCTCACCTTTGCTCCTGTGCAAAAGAAAAATACCCTAAACCCAAGTATATGGAATTAGAAGTGATAGGCTCTTTGGGTCTATGATGAGGAAGGATGTGTGCTTGGTGAGAGGCTGGGAAGGGGAGATATGGCAGGAGCATCTGGGAGGGACAGTCTGCCACTTTTGTGGTCACCAACTTCCCCCGATTTGTCAGGGTGATGGAGCTGGCAGTGCGGCATGTTATGTGGGTAGGGTGGGCCTTCTCTGAGAAAACTAGAAGGAGGTCCTCAGGTCCCAGAGGAGGGAGGGAGGAAAGGATGGCTGCTTCTCAGGGCAAAGGAGACGAAAATGCCCAGTGGCTCTGGGTGGGACAGGGGACCCTGAGACTGCATTACAAGGAATTCCCAGCCACTGGCCAGTCATGGCATGGCTGTTACATGCTTCTTTCCCACCTGAACGTTGGGCCCACAGGCTTTGCTGGCCAAAGGGAAAATGAGTGGGAGGGAAATTCCAGTGTCCATTCGGGGTGGGGAAGTCTGAGCCAGCTGAGGCCCTGAGCTGAGCTGGATGCCGGCTGGGATTCCAGGGCTTGGGGTGTAGGGGTGTCTCTCCCAGCATGTTTGGGACCCACCCACCCTTGTAACTAAAAATCTGTTCCCCAAGCTGTCTCTGGCACATCCTCCAGCTCCCCACCTCCACCAAATGGCCGGATGTCCTGGCAACTCAGGCTCTTGTATACATCATGGGCACATCTGGGGCCTTAGGTTGTGCCAATTCCTGCTGGACTTCAACTCTAGAATCCAGAGGGGAGAGAAAAGGAGGAAACTGGGGGGGACATAGTGGATACCAGGCCTAGACTCTGTGCTTTTCTCTTCCCAAATTAGAGCTGAGGAATTCGGGATTTGGTGAGTTTGCAGTAAAGTCTCCCAAGTTGCTAGCCAACATCCCTCTGCAGGCTGCGCTGCCTCTGGGCCCTTCTTCCTGCTGGTCAGAGCTGAAAGGGGGGGGTATCTTTACACTCCCCCCACACTCCCACACAGGCAGCGCAGCCCTTGCCTCTTCCTGAAAGACACCTTTGTGTGGGGTGAGGGTGTCTCCGAACACTGGCAGGCCCATGGGAGAACAGATACGGCAACTGTCAATTCCATCTGCAAAACAACCATTTCAGCAACAGCCCACTTGAGGCGCCTACGCAGAACTGGCCACAGTGTTCACCCTGGGGGATGGGCTGGCTCTGAGGTGAGGAAAAGACAGAGAGGAAGGCAGAGACTGGAATGAGAAGACAGACATTCAGAAACTCAAATACCAGAGGCAGGAGCAGCAACACATATGGCCTCATATAGATGACACATACACATAGACCCAAAGACGCAGACACACACACTGCCCACATCCACAGAGCCACACACCCTGAGCAGCTTGTCATACACTGACATCCAAAGACATGCTCAGAGGAGGCCCTTTAACCACCATGGGGCCAAGGCACACACTAACCCTGGTGAGAGGTCCTGGTGAGAGATCTCTCTTCTGCACCTCTAGGTGGCTGGAGTTTGTCTGCAGGGTGGACCGGTGGGACTCTGAGCCTGTGATTCTCAAATAGAGGAGCTAGGAAAAGGGACAGGTGCAGTATGGGATGCCCGGGTCTGGCTCTGCAGGGCTCCGGTCCTTGGCAGAATTATGCCAGGTGACATTTCCCATAGCAGCTTGCCTGGCCTAGGGCCTGGGTGCCACCAGTCAACTTTTGGAGTATTACCTACTGACCAGCTGGGCTTGGACCCTGTAGTTGTCCTCCTTGAGTCTCCTGTACAGTCGCCAGCCCCCATTGCTACCGAAAAGGAAGGGCTGCAGGCCTGGAAAGGAGACGAGCTCCAGAGGGAAGGGCTAGGGCGTGTCGGTGCCGTGGGCTGGTGTCAGCAGGGAGCATGGAGGTACAGGGTGAAGAATAAAAGCCAAGGCAGGCAGAAGAGGAGATGGTTAGCAAAAGAGAGACTAAAAGATGGATTAGTGGGAAGCTTCTGCGGTCCAATACAGCTCCTTCTTGGGACAGATGGAGGGGGATTTGGAGAGGGTTGGTCCTAGTAAGCAGGGAGAAAAGCCAAGACATGTGACAATCTATTTGCCAATACTTGTGGCTTCCCCTCCTCGGAGTGGGCACTTTCTGAACATAACATCCCAGCTCAAGCCCACGGAGGGACTCCATCATAAGAAGGGGGCTGGAAAGCGGGAGGCCTGTGCCTTTCGTGGAGCTGATCTGGGGGCTTCTTAGGTCAGGATTTTACCCATTTGCGAGGAGGGGGTGGAGGTAGCAGGAAATTCAGTTTTCGCTGCAAATATTTCAGCTTTTGCTGTCGTCGTATTTTTAGCAACCTGGTTGGCAGAGGAGGAGCCCCGGTACATTTTTAAAGGGGCCTCTGCCAGACTGGAGGCCTCTTCCACCCTCACCCCACATGTCATAAAGGAGAGGAAGAAAAAGCACGCAGCTCAAGGGATGCATTCAAATGTAAAAATCAGGTTTGCTGGGCATTAGGTGACCATTAAGTCATCTTCATCCATAGTCGTTAGCCATCATCAGCAACATTGTCATTGTTAGCGTCGTTATCAAGAAAAGTAAATATTTTGAGCTTCTGCTGTGTGCTTCTGCTAGGGACACAGAGTAGATTAAGGGTTTGATATACTGTACTTGGTAAGATGGGGAGAGAGGCAACACTATTGTGTGAGTACTAGGCTAACTCCGAATAGTGCTTTTTACAAAGTGCTTCCCATCCATTATTTAACGTGGTGCTCTTGAGAACTATGTGAGGAGGGATTGGTATTTTTAAACCCATTTTCTGAGGAGGAAACTGAGGCCTAGAGAGGGTAAGTGACTTGTTACTTGTCTGGCGTTAGATCTCTAACGACATGCAGAACTAGCGCTAAAACACAGGAGCTTTGACTTAGAATTCTGTGTTTCTGACCCTTCTAACATGCTCCTAACATTGCATGGTGCTCATTGTAATGGGCTACGTGCTAAACAAATCACACAGTCTCCTTTCTCTTGGGATCTTATAGTCTGATGACAAATGTATGTGTGTATGAAATAAAGTAATAAATGGTAGATGCCAAATGAATGATGCAGACAGTAAATGCTATGGGAGTTGAGGTATGAGAGAAATGATCTGAGAATTTTGGTGATCAAGGAAGGCTCCCTGGATGAGGGTGGTTTGAAGCAAGAATAGAGCTCAGATAAGTGAAGGGGACCAGGAGTGGGCAGAAGGACATTTAAGGCAGGGGCGGATGTTGTGAGCCATGAACTGTATTTAGTGTCACTGTGAGCTCATGCTACCCCAGCCCAGAAGGCAGCAGTCCTAATCTCCTTCTTCATACACAGGGTTTCATGCCTGAAGCTCTGTGCCCTACATTCATCTTTGGTGACATATCGAAGCCCATGAGGACCTCCAGGTCCACACCAATTGGTGTTTACTCCTGCTCAGCAGCCCTGCTGTTCCTCCGAGTTCTAGCACACGCCTGCCCCTTGCTGCTGGGACGTGCCAGGCGTCTGCTTCTTCCACTTCCACTCCTTTTGTTCTGGGTCTCAGTGAAGTTCAGAGTCCTTGATGTGGTTGCTCTTTGTTCCTATATTGCTGCAAACGTTTAGTGATTCCACACCTCTCCACTGCCCTTTCCCTGGTTTCCTTCCCCACCTCTTTTTTTTTTTTTTTTTTTGAGACAAAATCTCACTCTGTTGCCTGGGCTAGAGTGCCATGACATCAGCCTAGCTCACAGCAACCTCAAACTCCTGGGCTCAAGCAATCCTTCTGCCTCAGCCTCCCGAGTAGCTGAGATTACAGGCATGTGTCACCATGCCCGGCTAATTTTTTCTGTATATTTTCAGTTGGTCAATTAATTTCTTCCTATTTTTAGTAGAGACGAGGTCTCGCTCTTGCTCAGGCTGGTTTCAAAGTCCTGAACTTGACCGATCCTCCTGCCTCGGCCTCCCAGAGTGCTAGGATTACAGGCGTGAGCCACTGCCCCCGGCCCTTCCCCACCTTTTTTAATGAGTAAAAGCTAGTGACACTAAGCAGTGTGTGCACCTGCTGGGCCCACACATCCTGCCTGCAAACATTACACCAACACAGCCTTTTAATAACAAGGCAATGACCATTTTATTAACATTTGAATAACAAACTCTAAAACAAACCTGATAATAACCACCTCAGTTTTGTTTTAATTGATTTTTACAAAAACACTTACATGAAATGTAATTTTTACCTTATTCCTTAGTTCATTTAAGGACATATTCTCCTTTTGTGGTTCAGCTGGATAGTCAGATAATTCCTGACTCAACCAGCAATGCGTGTCTGGTGATCCAAGTGAAGTTCAGGCCATTCTCCTCGTCACTGTCTATCTCAAGGCTGAAGGTGGGGGAAGCTCTTATCCAGGAAATGGAGACCCCTTGAAAATCACCCAGCCTGAATGTCTCTTGGTGTGCATGTATGTGGCTGGTATCACACTTCTCACACTTCATGCCGACACTGTCTCATCTGAGGGCTTGGAGTGATCCACTGGCCACGGCTGTGCCATTCATTTGGCATCTAGCATTTATTGTTTTATATTAATGCTTTTTTTTAAAAAAACATTTTTTTATTTTACAAAAACTTAAACATATGCATAAGTAAATAAAGTAGTATATGATGAACTTCACTGTACTCATCAATAATTCTCAACTCATTACCAAACTTATTTATATTCCTTATGATTCCCCCATTATCATTTCATTTATAGATATCTAAGTATATATGTCTGAAATATAAAGACTCTTTAATACTTATTTTTAAAGCATGTGCTCATTAGACTGTAAGTTCCATGGGGAAAGACTCTGGAGACCCAGATAGCATGGTGATGTTTTCCTGAAAATTGCTCAGAGTAGATCTTAAGTGTGCTCACCTCCCCCCCCCCCAAATGGTAGCTGTGTGTGGTGATGAATGTGTTCATTAATTTAATTGTGGTAATCATTATTTCACAGTGTATGTATATATCAAATCATCACATTGTACACCTTGAAAATATACAATTTTTCTTTGCCAATCGTACCTCAATAAAGCTTAAAAAATATGAAATGTAAAAAAAATAAGGAAAGTTATCAGAGCTGTTTTCTTTCTTTTTCTTTTTTTTGAGACAGAGTCTCACTCTGTTGCCCAGGCCAGAGTGCTGTGGTGTCAGCCTAGCTCACAGCAACCTCAAACTCTTGGGCTCCAGTGATCCTTCTGCCTCAGTCTCCCAAATAGCTGGGACTACAGGCATGGGCCGCCACGCCAGGCTAATTATTCTATTTTCAGTAGAGACAGGGTCTCGCTCTTGCTCAGGCTGTTCTTGAACTCCTGACCTCAAGCAATCTTGCCGCCTTGGCCTCCCAGAGTGCTAGGATTACAGGCGTGAGCCACCGCGCCCGGCCCATAGCTGTTTTCTTTACCACTGTAGCCTTAACACAATGTCTGAGACATAGTGGATACTCAGTAAATATCTTTTGAATGATTGAATGAACAAGGAGGAGGACGAATGAGTACATGTCAGGAGGAAGCCAGGCATAGGGAAAGTGCGTTCTGCTGTGGCCAGGCATGACCTCATTTGCAGCAGGCCACGCTTCTGTTAGAGGGCCAGGTATGTCTTCAGCAAGAACTTAGAAGGTAGGCGGTAAACAGAGAGGCATCTCTTCATTTCTCTGCAATTTAGCCCCGGAGCTTCCATTTTGAGGAGCTGAGATGTAGAGGCGTGTTCCTCCGAAGTCCATGCTGAGGTGACCTCTTTCCTGGGAGCACTTTGGGAGATGGACCGTGACAGGGCCTGAAAGCCAGGAAGGAGCCATGTCTGTCCTCATTTATCTAGTTTAATGTTACTTTCTGTCTAGTTCCATTTGACTGTTTCCTTCCTTTAGCTTGGCTAAGCATTTCCATTGTGTCTTTGCTGTGCAAAGGGACATTCCAGGAAGAGTTATATACTCGGCCTCAGGCCAGAGAGGCCAAGGTGGGGCAGGCAGCTTCGTGGCAGCAATCCTTAGTGAGGCATTGCAAGAGGCACCTGGCTCTCAGGTTTTGTGGTCTTGGTGCCTTGTTCCACTTGGATATTCTCTTTCCAGCGCTAATCTTGGAGGGTTTTATTTTTACTTAGAAAGGTAGGACATTTCTTTCATTGAGTTATCTGACATGGTTGATCCCAACTCCCTTGAATAAGCTGATATGCTAATTACTTCCGGCTATCAGGCTTGTTGGGTGGATGAAGACCAGCCTGCCATTGTTGTTTACAAAGAATTAAGGGCCTAACACCTATTATTTTCTTTAAACCAATCCAGATCAGCCATCTGGCTAAAGGTGGTATTACCAATAATCATCTTCTACTGAATTTTCATATGAACTTGTCATAGGAAGCACTGATATGTTCTGAAGTTTCAGACTTTGGAAGAAAGGAGGCGTTGACAGAATTGTCCTAGTGGACTGCATCCACCATGGCCAAGATACAGGTGAACATATATTAGA